GTTACCGTTATTTTGACGTTCCACCTATCATTCGAAAGTACAATGGTTGGATCCAGAGAAGATCAGATATTGAGCTACTACTTTATTCGAGGCTTCGGCTGGTCAGGATATCCTTACTGTCCAGATACAGTATACGACATCGGCAGAAATCTCTGGGAGCATTAACAAACCATGAGGGCGTGGATTGTTTCGATGTTTTGAGTTCATCAGAAATCTATTCATGGAATACTGTATGGAAAAATTCTGAACCACCACATTTCCGCAACCCCGTAAATCTCATTACTTTATATATTTAATCTGCACATATCCATCACCTGCGTGAAACTACAGTGATCAAGCAGAAAGACAGAGATATGACTGAACAGCTATGACAGATAATTAGCCTTATTTTGCGTTATCATGATCAGTCTTCATTGATTGACTGCTGGCGTATAAAGAAGGCATCTAAAGATTTCGCCGCAAACTTCGATCTCCTAAAGTACTTAGCCAGGTTGCTGCAAAACATTTTTTACGCTCACTCCGCCCTAGATTTGCATGTCTCCTAATGAGCTGTTTAGAGTCCTAGACTTTTGTTTTGTTCCATGCTTATTCGTTTATATCTCTATTTCGCTTTGTTATTCACTACATAAATTTTTCTGTGCTCCTTTGCGTATGCTGTAGTTTGCTAATGGCATTCAGGTTTAAATTCCACTTCTTGCATCCATGGGATAGCACAGAGAGCACACATCGATCGAAAACTTTCTGTTCCAATACAAAGACAGTAAGAGCATTATCAATCTTCTAGCAGTGCTCCATTACAGCTGAAACTTTTACTCATCTGTCGATATCGCGGAGTCGGTTCTCCATTGCAGAGATGAGCTATATTCCAGACAGACGTAGTCTTGCTCCTCTTCAAGCCTAAATATATTGACTTCAGTAGGTCGCAGATTTCTTTAGGCTTATTTTTAATCCTGCTTTCACGCTGACATTGGTCATTGTCAAATTCCTTTCTGGAGTGCTTCTGCAGACTTAGTCAGGATTAAAGCATCGCCGACAAAGCGCAAACGGCTTAAATAGTGTCTATGATTTTCCAAATTGAGTATGCTGGAAACCTGTTCCAGGGCGACCATGAATAACTCCGGTGGTGTTACGTCACCATGTTGGAGGCCCCTTTCTACTTTGAATTTGCTTGTTCTTTCGTAACGCTTTTCAATGGCCAATGAACTTTTTTAAATCATGACGACGAATTTTCTCGATTTTCAGTGACAGTACTTTAGGAGGTGCTTCTGAAGATACACAAGAAGTTAGGACGTAAAATTCCGGAGGAGCTTCTCCCGTCTCACTTTTCGCGTTTCGATCGCCGCCTACGTGGATTACTGTAAGCCACGTGACTGATCACCTACACACACATGCATCTTTCCCGATACATGCACGATGATCTCACGCGCTTGCGACATTTACAGGCGACGTTGATCCTTCCACCATTCATGTGCGCATTCTTGCATATTGCGCAGAAAAACAAACTGTCGCCCTAAGTTTCGCTTGTCTAAGAGGCACCAATGCCAAATGCCCTGATTTGCACACAAAAGAGTGAGGCATTCATCGTCAAAGCCCGAAGCAACCTGGAGAGGAAGGGGATCTAAATAATAACAGGTGTTCAACCGACCAACATGTAAACGCAGATCTGTAAAATGCATCGGTGCGTAAAGAGAAAAATTTGGGGCCCACTGAAGAACCCTCCCACGGCCACAGCTTGGACCTCACAATCCTCCTCCGTGAACCGAGTCTCCCACAAAAATTGTCCGTGGTTACTGTGCATGATGCTTAACTAGATAAGTCAGATGCCCAGTGAGTCCGTGAAATGTATAGAGGATCCGACGCTCAGTGTAAATGAGGATTGCTGAGCATTTTACTGTGTATCCTCACAAGTGCCGGAATCACCTACTCTGGTAGGTTAATCCAATCACGTGCTATAGTCATATGTTAGGGCCTTTAAACTACGTCTACACCTTTTCAGATTTTGAAGAATCCTTCCACTGGCTACAGGGCTGTAGAGAAGAACACGATGCATTCCTGACAAATATCGAGCAGCTAAGGTTCTAAGATAGAACGTGTCCACTTTACTCTACCGTGCTTATTCTGACACACAAGCATCATTGAAAGTACAGTGTCCGGATGACGTTGACACCATTCACGTCATTATTGTTGCAATATTAAGCGTTGATATTTGAACTCGCGCGTCTGTCTTCTGTCACAAAGTCTTACGTTACAAATTTGTTTTGTCATCATGCTTAGGCAAACCATCCCTAATACCCAAAGTCGTCAAAATCCACTAAGAACATCCATGACACGGTTATTAAATGGATCTCGTTATCCGAACGGTGGAGGACAACTGCGCCTGGTTTGATTCCGCCGACAGATAGCTCGCCACCGGAGATATAAGATCGCTGCGGATCTTGCTCCGCATTCAACGATTACGTACTTTCTGAATCTGTAA